TTTTAAAAGATTTTATATGTACAAAAGTTAAAAAGACTTTATCTAAATAGTTAAATAAAATTTAAGTTATGGTGTTATCTACATTATATAATTATGATCTTGAAACTTGTTATTCTGTTGTAAATTCCAAAAGCATATATGAAATTCCTATATATCTATTATGTACAACTTGTCTAGTTGAAAATCGAAATTATGAAAAATATTATAATTTTTGCATTTCAAAAATTTGAAAATTGTATAATTGACTAATGCTTGGAATTATTAAATAAATATAATACCTTATAATTTTAGAAGTTTGATATGTATTATTTTAATTATTAAATATTTTTTTAAATGATAAAAAATTGAAAATAATATTAAAAGTAAAAACATTTTTTACACCCAATCCTCGCCTATGTTCGCTAAAGCTCGTAAAGTTGAAAATTCTCCTCCACGCTTAGCCTTGTTTTATGTTTTTTAGAATACTAATTAATAGTTATTTTCTGACTTTTGGCCATCTCGAAGCCCTTTATGCTTTGCCGTTGCCTGTTGGCTTATGCCATTTTCCGGCAATCACCTAGCTGCAAAACTCGTGTCTTTGACATGCATGGTTGAATAAAATCGCATTCACAAGCTCTCCACAGACACTTCTATTCTTTCGGTCATATCTGTTCATTCAGGCATCTTTATTGCCTTATCCATATTGTATGGTTAGTCCAAATTACCCTTTATGGACAACATCCACATGTAAAACAAAAGTAGGATTCTCCCATGCCACACAATCATAATCATATCCTGTAAACAATCCACAAAAATCACGCAATTTATTTGAATTTGACATATAACAGTTAGTGCATGTTTGATATTGGTATTTGACAAAATTAAACAATATAATAAACAAGATCTTTTTTTCCCCTTAACACTGTCTAGTGTTAACCTTGAGAGGTTGCTCAATTGGTCGGGTCTTGAGTTTACTCTCCAATGATCATCAGTTCGAGTCCCCTCAAAGCCACTGAGGTGAATACTCAGTCGTAAACTTCAAGGTCCCGTGAGATTAGTCGAAGTGAGTGCAAATTGACCCAAACATCCACGATTATCAAAAAAATAAACACCGTCTAGTATTATTTAATCCTCTTTACCAAACATGCTACCTGAATGCAAGCCTCAGCCACTAACACAAGTTTAAAGTGAGGAAGCATACAAGTTCTAAATTACAAGAAAGGATAGAATTCAAAACACATATGGGGCATGTAACATGTAAGAAGGAATTACAGCCCCCATACAGAGTTACTTGAGATATTCGGAAGTCGCTGCATATAAGTAAGCAAAAAGCATATGCCAAACAGAAGATTATCCAAGTCAGAAGGAGATATTATGGGAGCATAATGTAAAACCTAGCCATGTTCATAAAGTAAACATAAAATTTATCTACTTCACTCTTTCCCATCAGCAGCACGCAGAGAACCAAGTTGAACTGTTGCTTGCGTTCCCACGACTTTTGAGGACCCATAGAGAGTAACATCAGCGCCTTGAGCTTTCTCTTTCTCAATTTGGTCCTTGATCCAGAAATATGTGAATTTCAGCCCATCCTGTACTCGAACATATGGATATGATCGATGAGTCATATTTGCATAAATCAAGTTGATAGGCACCAAAATAAATAAAAGGAAAAAACACTACAAAAAATGTACCTTCAGCCTCATAGAAGGTGCCCAGCCGAGCTTTTCCTTAATTAGAGTGTTGTCTGAGTTGCGACCACGCACGCCCTCTGGTCCTGGAATGTGATGGATGGGGAGATTCTTGTTCTCGAAGCTCAGAACAATATCCGCCATCTCATTCATGCTGACCATCTCATCACTTCCAATATTTACAGGCTCTCTGAAGTCAGATTTGGTCAATCTGAATAGATACAAATGAGTCTTGGATTAGAAAATAGCACTTGTAAATCTCTCGAAATGTATGGATAATTAGTGGCTTGAGTGTTTATAAAAAGTTTATAAACATGAGGCAAACGTACGCATAGTGATCGGGGGAGAAAGCTAATTTTTTTTATTGTGGGTTGGGTGTGGTGGGAAAAGGAATAAAGAATAAAAACTAGACGTTGCAGGATGCAAATAATATATATATATATACATAAATGATCTAATGAGCACCGATACTCATNTGTGCTTAGGATGAGTTGGCACATTAATTCATTAGTGGATAAAGATTTTGTGAGTTCCAATCCACCAATGAATTAATGTGCCAACTCATTGGTGCTTAGGATAAGATTAACACCGGTACTCATTAGATCATTTCTGTATATATATATATATATATATATATATATATAAGAGGGGATATCTTACATCCCTTTTCTAGGATCCAGCCTTCTCAGCTCATTAACCAAATGCTATATTTAACGTTAATAACAGAAATATAGTTCTTGCATGACCAACCACAAATGGGCAATGGGTAGCACTCGAACTCATTCAACTTCACATAGAAGCCGATCTCTGATCTTCACAAAAACAGCATAAACATGTTTGGTACTCATATTGCACAAACTAAAAGCTATTATTATTATTATTTTATTTTTTATTTTATTTTTATCATTTCTTCATATCGACGAGTCCACCTTACTGGACATGCCTTATTACGCACTTATAACAGGTACATACCTCAGTACACCTTCAACACATTCATCGATAAAGGTAAAAGATCGAGTTTGTAGCCCATCCCCTCACATCTCGAATTTATCAGTTGAAGTAAGGGCTTTCCTACAGAACGCAGCAGGGGCTTTTTCCCTTCCACCTGCAGTATTGACGAAGAAGGTGATAAATTAAAGAAAATGCCTATTTAGAAAGAAAATGAAACACACTTTCCATTTCTCACTTATATTATACCTTTCCATGTACCAAACGTACCATAGATATTATGAAACCGTCCAATTCGACACTCAATTCCAAAGTCCTTGTTGTAGTGTTTACATAATTCCTCAGTTGCCAGCTTCGCTAAAGCCATAAGCATCTTGGAGCTAAAATAAAATTGAAATAATCAGTAATGCAGATAAGTTTTAACTTAAAGAACAATGTATTACAGAACCTCAGCAGGCCAAGCATCAGACTCCTTCAAGCTCACATTAGTGTCCAGCTGCTTAAATTCAGGATAGATACAAGCACTGGAGGCGTAAAAAAATCTGAAATCCATTTTGGGGAAGTTAACACTTGTATCTGCATATCCAAATGCGGCATTGCAGACACATGGAAATAAAACTCAGATAAAAACAGAATAGACAAACAGGAAAAATATGACTGT